TCCCAAAAGTAAGATAGAAACACTGACGAGAGAGTAAGCGAGAGAGAGAGAGAGAGAGAGAGCGAATCAAAGTAAAAAAATAAGTTTCTGTCTAATAAAAGATTGTATCATGGGCATTTTGCTGGATTCTTGCAGTACAAAACTCTAACATTTATAGACAAATATATTATACAACCATTAATTTTTTTTATTTAACCATCTAAATGAAAAACAAGGTAATAAATATTAATGATTACATAATTATGTATTAGAGACGGAAACTTGAATATGTTTTTCAATGTTAGGATAACATGACATTTAGAAAATACATGTAAATTATTCATTACAATAATCTATATTTAAATAATGATTAATATTTGTGTTTTTGAAACCAAGAATAACTCAAACCCAAAGTGTTTTTGCATTTTAATTATAATGATAACATTTTGCAGGGCATAAGTGGTTTGTAAGGGTGTTATCCCCGTTTTTAATTCATTGCACTCAAATGGTTGTTAACATTGATTACGAAATAGCAATCATTTGATTTAATTGAAGAATTGGTTGACTTTTATATTGAAATGTAAATGAATTGTGATTTTATCGACAAAATGAAATTCAATTAAATCGTGCGTCAAATTGTCGCCAACTGTGACAACACATCCGCACAGTATTTGTGAGCAGAATTTATCAAGTTGTTTTATTTAATAATTTAATAAATACCCATTTCTGTGCTCTTTATTACCGCATAACCAAGTAATCCATAAACACATTAAATTGTATTTTGATATTTTTGTTTTTTGTTTTGTCCAAATATTTTTGAAAATAACGAGGAATTTATAGAGAATAATATTTACGCTCTTATTTGTCATTTCGTGAATTATTATTTTACACTCAATTTGCAGTCAATTATTGATCCGAAATGAATTAAAACGATAGAAAGCAATAATGAGTAAAATATTTATTACCATTTCGTGATCAACTCGTTTGCAAACACAGAGAAAAACACATCAAAAATTCAATGCAAAACAAGAAAGTAATGATTAAATGATTTTCAGCCATACTTTCATTAATAATAGCCATTCATTTGTAACTCTTTTGCCAATAAAAAAATATATGTATTATTTTAAGTAAATATTTATTTGCTAAATGATAGCAAACATTTACTAATGGGAGAGAAAATAAAAGTGTTTTCATTAAATACAACACAATTTTTAGGCCAAAATAGCACTTAAAATGTTGCCGAATATAAGACAAGTTATTTCCAGATAAAACTGGATCTCAAGTTATTCTTGAATATTCTTGCCTTTTATAAAAATTTATTATTAATAATTATAGGCTATTATATTATATGTTAAAGTGTTTATTAATTTTCTATTCATTTTTGACAGGTTTACAAACTTATACTTTTTATCTCCTTATCATTGGTTTATTAATTTTGTAATACTTTTTCAGACACTAATATTGATAGATATATTGATTTCTCTCTTAATGTCTGGTTTTCTCTTAAAAGCTTTGATTTAAATAAAGTCCTTAATATTGTGGACTAAACCTAAGACATAAGTGGGCAGTGTTTCCAATATTAATTACTTTTTGTTTTTTATAATGTTTTGTTTGACTAAACCCATGCATACACTTAACAAATGAACATTTAATTTACTATTCAATGTAAGAATAAAGCAAATAAATTATATGGAAAATAGTTACGGTATTATTACAAACAAATGTAATGGACTTTTCCTTCCCTTTCATAACTAATATTTTGTTCATATTTTTAAATGAAAGGATGAAATGGTATGTGTTTTCCTAAATATACTTTGAATAATGGGATGTTTTCGACAATTCCAGAGAAAAATATTATTGATATCATATTATATTGAGATATATAATCCTAATAGAAAATCTAGACTCTAGACATGGCTCAGTAACAATTAAACATTACCAAGATTTCAATTTGTCTCATCATGATTTAATAAAGTATTTTACGTGGGTTTTCGTTGCAAATGGACTTTCTTAGAAGTTCTGTTGAATTTCTCTGTTCTCAATTTTTTAGTTATTAATAATGAAAAATAAATAAATTCATTGTATTATTTATTGGAATTATATGGTATAATTTATATGTTTATTTAGTATAATCTACAATATAATTATGAATGTGAACAATCTCCACACTCCCGGAAACGTGACTTAACTAAAAAGCATAATTCCTGTATATTTCAATATATCGTACATTTTAATTGAAAATTGATTGCTTTTAATTCTAAATATGATATTAATTTTTTAATATAGTAGTGATTTACAAGTCTCTAATATCAAGTACTATTTAATTGCTAAAGTATTATATTATAACTTATAATTTATAAGTAAAGTGTGTCACTTCTAAAGCCTATAATTTTGGCGACAATTGAAAATATGCAAAAAGTTTGATTGATTTGATAGTAAATAATCAATATTCACAAATAAATTGTCGAAAAGTGTTTTGATTGCCTGGAAATTGATGACAAATTTGGCAATTCATATAAGGGATACAGAATTTTGTAATTTTCATAATTGATGTCATATAGTGTTTACAATAAGTGAGATATGGGTTTATTTTAGTAAAAACTACTGTTTTTCAAACTCGGATTTAGATAACGGGTCTAATAAGACACTCACTTCTGTAAGACTCGCAGAGTATACGAGAAGTGAATTCAATCTCTTGTTGGAAAATCCATGAAATCCTATGATAGTCTCGTTTACGCATTGAAAGTCCCATTAAGGTATTTATTATTTAAATATGATTAGTATATAAATAGTTAAATTGAATTCAGTGTTGATGTGATTGTCATAGAAAAGCAAATCTCAAAATTATTTCAATACTTTAATGAAATTTATTTCGTATATTATTTATTTTACAGTGTTTTGTAAAAACAGTGACAGAGTTATTGTGTTCAGACGTTTTGATTCAATCATTTGTTAAAAATATTTTATTGACCATTAATTGCAATAATATTTATGTTTTAAACATAATATGCTTAACAAAAGTGCATTGTATTTGTGAAAGTCATTTGTTTTTTAAATGTATTAATTATTGTTAAATATATCTGTTTTATTTAATTTTATTTTTTGGTAACTCGTTTATCCATCTGATTATCACTGAATAGCCACTCCTATTGGCCTTAATTTGCTAATCAATTTCTACCTTAATGTTATTAAAGTATAATATGTTTGTCTGCAACTAAACAAAAAAATTCTATAAACAATAACTAAAATTCATATTAATTATAAAATCAGTCCTAAAGTAATTGTAAGTTATATATGATTAATGAAGAATTTATTTCTCGATAAACACTTTACAAACAAAAATTTATTCAAAAGAGCAAAATATAAAGTTATTTATATTTCCGTATAATTTGATACCAATTTAATACATATTTACTAAATTAATGGATACTTAATCGTAGAGTAATTCAATATCTGATTGTATTTTAAATACACATTACTAATCAATTATAGCATTGAGAATATTATTGCCGGTTTTGGTGTAACTTTTGTCTCACATTTATTTACTACTGTTTACTCAGAAAAATCAACAATTAATTAAACAATTAAAAGTTGTGTTTACTCTCCTGTTATCTCTCACACATAAATCATAAGTTATAATTAAATGGTTCGTTAAATCGCTATCAAATTGTATGCTATAAATAGTTTTTCTAAACTCTAAACTTTTGTAAACATTACTTTTCAAACCCTTTCACTCATAGGAAAGAAAACTTTTCAAAAGCAAAAACTTTAAATTTGATTAGATTTTAAAAACTGTTGTTTTATTTGGTTCGCAAAAGTGAGAGACAATGCCATCACCAGAAGAGCGGACCGGTGGGGAGGAAAAGTGTGGCTCAACGCTGTCATCGCGCACTTCTTCGGTTGATTCTTCGTATAACATAGAGGAGGAACACGACCCGCAATACCAGGACTCCATTCAGCCCAGCCTTAACTTCTCGCGTTTGGCCTACAATTTGGCCCAATTTAATGAGACCTATGAAGTGATTCACAGCACATCCCATCCGAGTCGCAAACTCATGTCCGCCGTGAGGGACACCTGTTCTCACGACACCGTCAAACAGACCATCAAAACGTTGCTTCCCATCACTGATTGGCTCTATAACTATAACTGGAAGTCCGATCTGTTGGCCGACTTTATTACTGGCGTTACAATCTGTGTATTCCAAGTGCCGCAGAGTAAGTTTGCCATGACCATGGTCAAATGGGCTAAATAATTATTGTCATATATTGCACGATCACTAACTGAATTCACTGTCACACGAATCCAGGTATGGGCTATAGTTTGTTAGCTAAGGTCAGTCCTGTCTATGGCTTGTATTCATCCTTCTTTCCGGCGCTCATCTATTCATTTATGGGCTCTTCGAGACACTCAGCTATCGGTATGTTTTCTATTAAGTAATAATTTATAAATCTTATTGAGTAATGAATTGAATCCATACTTTAGGCACATTTGCAATCGTGTCACTAATGACGGGCACAATAATCAGCGAAATGCACGAAACAAACGCTAACCCACTAGTGAACCAAACAAACACCGATCCATCGACACAACAGAGACAATATTCAAACATACAAATGGCTTCAATGATCGCATTACTGATAGGCATATATCAGCTATTGTTTGGCATCTTTCGGATGGGCTTCATATCGGTGTATATGTCGGAACAGTTGATCAGTAGTTTCATAACCGCTTCATCATTCTATGTGCTCACATCACAGATCGGTTACATGTCTGGCCTTCATCTCGAGTCTCGAAGTGGACCGCTTTCTCTCTTCTATACTTATAAGGAATTTTTCACATCCTTATGGAAGGCGAACACCACATCGATGTTTGTTTCGCTCATCTGTATTATTATACTGTTGTTCTTTAAGTTGTATTTGAACAATAAGATCAAACAGTGGACCAAACTCAACATCCCGTTCCCCATTGAGTTGGTGTTAGTGGTCGGCACTACTTTCATGACTTACTTTTTTAAACTGGATATCGAAACTGTGGGTAAGATTGTTACCGGACTTCCCTCGCCGTCAGAGCCCGAGTGGTCTCTATTGCCGAAACTGTGGCTCCGATGCATACCCTTAGCGATTGTCGCCTACGCTATCACTTATTCAACGGGAAAGACATTCGCCACTAAACATAACTATGAAATCAACTCAAATCAGGAACTATTGGCCATTGGAACCACTAATGTCTTCAGCTCTTTCTTCTCGTGTCTGCCGACAGCCGCGTCTCTCTCCAGAAGTGCAATTCAGGAGACTGTGGGCGGAAGGACTCAAATGGTGAGCATTGTTAACAGTTTGGGAATACTGTTTGTTCTCCTATACTTCGGACAATATCTCGAGAATCTCCCAAAAGTAAGATAGAAACACTGACGAGAGTTAAGCCCTTTCTATATAATGATTATCTAATTTTTCAGTGCGTTTTGGCGGCAATTATTTGTGTGGCACTCAAGACATTGTTTGCTCAGGTCTTTGATGTGATCAGATTCTGCAGAGTTAACAAACTCGATGGGGTTTGTATTTGAATGACATATGTTTTGGCATATTATCTAACTCTATATCATTTACATTTGTTATCCACAGTCTATTTGGATCGTAACGTTCGTAGCGGTGATTGTGCTTAACGTAGACATTGGTCTCTATGTAGGTCTGGCCTATTCGTTGGTCACTCTTATTTATAAATCTCAAAGGTATGCAGTTTTATGCCTAAAATTATGATTGAATATATTTTTACATTAATTATTTTGCAGACCGAAGCACTACTTATTGGGATCCATTGATAAGTCCGATGTTTACGTACCGTTGAAGAAGTACGCGTCCGCTCACGAAGTGATGGCCATTAAGATATATCAGTTTTGCGGTCCTTTGCATTTCGCTAATGTCGAGTACTTTAAGAAAGGTCTCACTTATAGGACTAAGATATCCGTTAAGTAAGTCATCGGAATTTATGCTCATTAATAACATATAGTAATATTCTTTGGGCACAATTTTTTTCGGTTTCTTTTAGTCATGTGATTGAAAAGAGGAAAAAGTTATTAAAAACTCAGAACCGACTCAACGATGACATGAAAAATAAGGCCAAACTATGCGGAAAATTTCAGAGAATGCGTACCTTTTCTCGCGATTCTCCCCAACTGTCCATCGATGAAGACCTGCCCACACATATTATCATCGATTGTTCAATGTTTTCATACATCGACACCACAGGCGTGACGGCCCTCAAGACCACTGTTCAGGAGTACGAGTCGATCGGAATCAAGACATTTCTGGCGAGTTGTGCGGCACATGTGGTCAAAATGTTGGAGAAGGACGGCTTCTATAAGGAGGTGCCGCCCCATCACGTCTACATCACAGTCCACGACGCCGTCCATCACGCCATTGAGGAACAGAAGGGAACGTTTGAACACTTTGTGGCCATCGATGCCATCGGAGCCGAAGAGAATCACAACGAACTCAAACACGAACCGCTTGAATATCACACACTTAACACGGATGTGAACCTCAAATAAAACACCACTTTTGATGCTTTGCTTACAGAATCTCATAATAGACGACAGCTATTACTACAACACATATACTTATTATTAATATTTTGATAAAAAGTTATTAAAGTATAAAAACAGAGTTATATTTTTGGGAATTTATGAGAGATTATTGGAAATACACTGAAATATATTTTTGTCAATGGCTTGTATTATGGATAGGATTTTGGTGTAAGAATTCGGTTACTTTTGTCATACCATTGACTAATAATTATATTATTATTAATATTTTATTTTATATAAAAACTAATATCTTTTTATAAAATCATACTTATTATCAGATATTATTTTTTCATGATTTGATATGTAATATACAGTATATATAAATATTTTCTATTTGTTATCAAAATTTCAATTAATTTTACTTATAATTTACATTTATTTGTATTACAAATTCTGTGATTAATTCTCATTCTTGGTTTTGAAAACCAAATGAAAGCTTATATAATAATAATCATTACTTGTATCACAAATTTCATTCAATGATTACTTTTAAATATAATTTTTCATACGATTGAATAAAAAAATATTAAAACAATATTTGTCCAATTATTCTGCAAAACGTGGTACAAATATCAATAAATGTCATTAAGTTTTAATAATCAAAAACTATTACATTTGCTATGAAACAAGATTTTTACAATTGACCAATAATTTAAAATACTATATTATACTAAAATATTTTGAATTAGTTTTACAGAGCATTAAAAAATTAAAATATAGCTCGTTAATGTATGAATAATTTATGTATTTAATGCCAAAATAAAAAAATACATTGAAATGTGTTTTTAAATAATTTCTGAATAAAGTGAAAGTTTGTCTAATATATGAATTACTATTACTTTTTAGGTGACATTTTAGGCGACATTTTAGGCGAATCAAAAGCGCCGGACACGCGTGCCGTTGACCGAGACTTTATGTATCCCTCCTTTGCTTTATATTTGGGATTCTTTTCGACAATTACTCGAAAATTCTTTGTTTTCCATAAATGAAAGTCTTGACGATATTTGCACATCAATTCATACCACACTTTGATCAACACGAAAGACCTAACTGTTGAAAACAGTGCCAAAAGCTTAACCCACCACTTATTGGGACGCTTTTGGCTGTAATTGATTGCAATCCATGCGATGATTGTTATGTTGATTAAATTGATGGTTCGGATGAGCAGTTCCACAAATTCCTCTTTGTTAGGATAGGTTGCCATCCAATCAAACACCGATTTGCTATGTCTTTGCATTACATAAGGGAAGCGACAGATATCGCAACTCAAGTGTCCATTCCTCTCGAGTCTGGCATTCATACAGAGTTTGTGTGCGAAGGCGTATATACCCTGACAATTGCACGGATGGATCACTTGTCCGCTTTTGATCTCATTTTCATCCACAGTCTTATAACATATACGACACTCTTTTACCTCTTTAACTGTATTTGAGTATTGGATCTCATTGTCTGATCCCGAAGACGATGACATTCCTGAACTCGATTCCGGACTTTCAGTCATTTTATGTTTTAACCGCAAATTATTTTCAAATATTAAATCATTTAAAAGCTCGAGAATTGAATTTAAAATACATTCAAAATATTATTACTTTTAAGGTAATAAAGCAATAAAGTAGTGCATTATAATAAAATTCAAATACCGTTAACAATATTGTAAATTTACATGTAGTTAGTGTTCATGCATTGAATAATCAAACGAACTGTTGTTAAATACAAAATTGTAATTTTAAAAACCGTTGAAAAAACTGGGTTTTAATTCATTGAACGGCCAGTTATGGGACACAACGGGTCGTCGAAGAGTGAGTCCAACTCAAAGGCCAGCGGAAGTTCTGGTAGTCATTTGAGAAGCAGTTCCCAACGCGAAGAGTCAGACTCTGATCGGAGAGGCAATCGGTCGCGAAGGAAGCGTCGCTTTCAGTCGGCGCTCGGCTTTTGGAGACGAGTGTCGGGAAACCAAAGACAGAGAGGAAAAGAATCCAAAAGCAAAAGGAAACGCAAACGGAAGCGAAGGACTCGAAGGAGAGCCAAAAGGCGGGCCAGAAATCGACACAAGAATAGTAGGACTGGAAGTGATACTAGAAGTCGAAGTAGTAGTGATTGAGGACAACATTGCAAATAAATGAAGTGTTTATATGATATCATATATTGTATTATTGTATGAATAAAATAATATGATTTTCTAATAAGTGAGAAATCAATTTTGAGTACATTTTCACTTTTAATATACATTTTCTTAAATTATAAATAATTTCAATAACCCTTTTTGACAACTATTTTAAAGGCTATAATATAGTATTACAGTTATGTAACATTGATTTTAGAACTGGATTTACAATAAGTTATAACTTATAAGATATATGAGTGAATAACATTTGTTATACTCATGTAAAAACTATTTGCCAATTGTTTCCGGTATATTAGTTTTGAGATAAAATACTTTACTCTACAATACTCGACTATAGGTATCTTTCTAACGAAGTAAGTATTGTAAGTACTCTCGTAATAATGCACTGTTTTATTGTTAAATAAGAGTGAATTTGAAATCCCATATAAAGTATTTAAACTTTTAATCTCAATATTAAAATTCATATAAAATTGTAATTGACTTTTGATCACAACCAGTATAAACCTTTATAGTATAAAGTTTATACTGTATATGTAAAAGAATTTAAAATATTATAAACTTTACAAAATGTACATTTACAATTATAATTCATACAATTCAATGAAACTCTCACACAATTTTGTCAATGCTATTAATATTGTCAACGAATCAATAATTCATTTTTAATTTTCATTTTTTAACACCAATTGTTTTGAAATGTTTTACCGTTAACTTTGAGTTCAAATTTTAATTATCCAAACGAACAGTTTTAAATGACACTCGATATAGCGATATAGCAATAATACATAACTGTTATTGACTTTTGTTATAACTGAAAATCAAATTAACATAAAAATTGAAATAATATCCGACAATAAGTTGTTTGGCAATAAATTGATGATCAAATTAGTCTGAAATTAGAGCAGTTTTTGTTGTATACAACTATTGTCAATATATAGCATGTGTTGGTGTTTTGGGTGGTGTTTCGGTGACTCCATCGAAGACTATCCGCGCGAAACGGGTTGTCTAGAGAGGGGACAGACGTTGAAGAAGACCTTTTCGGGCAAAACGATTAATTCAAATATACAGAAATCGTTTGATCCAAAAGAGGTTGAAAAGTGTGTTTTGCTCAAAACGCCTGGACTTCTAGGAGGGCCAGTCTTTCAGCGACCACTCAGTCATTTCAGTCAAATCACAGACACTTTGTTTCTGACCAGTTTTGGTGGTCTGACTGAACATAATATCTCACAAAATGGCATTCATTGCATTATTAGTGCCACTTATGAGACTCCTGTGATTGCTGTCAATGGCATTGAATTTATAAGAATTCCGGTCAGTATTGTCTTTATTATTGGTATCATTCATATGAATGTTGTTTAATAATTGTATTGAAAAATTTCAGGTCGAAGACAATGTCAATGAAAATATTTATAAATATTTTGATGAGATATCAGAGAAAGTAAACCAATTGATTGCGAGTAAGAAGAAGACAGTTATCCATTGTTGGGCCGGAAAGTGCAGATCCACTACAATACTCATCGGTACTCTTAATTTGATTATTTTTCAAAATTATACGTGTCTTATAATAAATGGTTTGATTACATAACTGATAGCGTGTTTAATGAAATGTCAAAATATGCCGTTGACTGAGGCCTACAAATTTGTATGGAGTAAACGGCCGTTCATTCGCATTAATAAAGGCTTTTTAAAACAGCTATACGTCTACGAAAAGGATGTGTTTGACAAGAATTTTGAAGAATTTAATAAAATTAAATCCTTAAATAATTTCGAGACTCCGCCCAAAGAAGTGTTACTCAAATTTTCAGAACCCAAACCGATTGGCACTAAAAACAAACCCATTTAAGAAATCAAAATTTATAACTTATATAACCATAAATTGTTTTCATTAGTAGACAAACACAGATTCAATTCCCATTATAACGTTGTTTATAAAAAAAATAAATAATTCAAATTTTTTCTTAAATTATTTGTTAATAATATTAAAACTTAATGAAAACATTCTTTGATATAAATAACTCAATATTTGTATAAATACTAATTGTTTGAAAGATTATGTTTAATAAAAATCAGTCAACAAAACAAATGATTATTTTACGATTACTTGAATAAAATATATTATAATATAACGTAATATTGATATAAAATGATTGTAATAAACAACTTATTATGTGTTAGTTTTGGCAAAAATAAAAGTTAATTTATATGTAAGCAAACAAACTGTGAGTCTAATGGAGCACTAATTTAATGAATTCTTCATAACTAATACATCCGTCTTTGTCTTTGTCGCCAATGGTTAGGATCTCTTTGATCTCCTCATCAGTGATGGGTTCGCCAATCAATTCGAGCGCATACTTAATGTCTTCGATTTCAATGGTTCCGCTGTTGTCGAAGTCAAAGATCTTGAAGGCGGCCGTCAGTTCTCCCTCGACGTCGTCGTGATGTGCGTCCATCTTAAGCATCCATCGGAAGAACTCCTCTTCTGTTATTAAACCGTCGCCTAAAACACATGTATATAACGTATGGTTAATATTTTAAATAAATATTCATTGATATAACCATTCTTTGATGTCTCGGCAATCAACTGATCAATAATGGCATCACTGATGGGAATCTTCAACTTAGAGAGCATTACTTTGAGTTCCTGTCCATCAATACGTTTGTCACCCTTTGTGTCCACTAATGAAAAGGCGGCCCTTATTTGGGCTATAATTGAAGTGGTATTTGAGTCCTGAATATTTGAAATATTAAATAATAAAAAGTAAGTTTTGGATTTAAAGACGAGAAAATATATGTATTGAATAAGTTTTGTTAGCCATAAAACTCTGTATTGAATAAAGAATTATTATTACATGAAAGGTGAGGATTAGGGATAAATTTTGACATAAAAGAGTTGATAAAATAATGTTTATTATGAATTAAATTTAATGACATTATCATTATATAGAATATTTATATTGAAGTGTAATTCAGTGAAGTATTTCATGTGTTATGACAACGCATTCAACGCTAAGAATCGCATAACGACTGCACTTAATATGTAATTAAAATGACATTAAATTCAATTTTATGACAAAATTGTTAATTTTATAATTTACAAATATATAAATATTTAATTGTATATTTATACTCACGGGAGTAACCATTGAAAAGTTGATAAATCTGATGATATTTGCATTTAATGACTACTTAAAACATTTGCACACATATTCATTGATGTGACGATCGCTGTAATGGTATTTCAATATAAAGTATCGAAACTAATAGTAAACAAAACTAATTGTTATAAACAGTTAAAGACTAATCTAATCTTAGGCTCATTTTTATAGATTATTAAGACAATTTAAGTGATCAAAAATAACTACTTTATAATTAGTCATTATAGATACTAAACGAGTATTAATTTTGTAACTAAACTCATAATTATTGTGTAAATATTACTAATATTGTAAGAATAATATATTTTATTTATTAATTGTCAGTTAAGTTATTGTATTGTGAATTGCTTTAAAATATAATAAATAAATAATTTATATAATATTAGCAGAGTTTACAATTATATTGAATTTTTTATTATGTTATATCTTAATTATGATTGTATTTTATCAGATATACATTGGTTAGCAAATACGGTACAATTCAATGTTCAAATGCTATACAAGTGTAGAAAAGTATTTACATATTTAGATGATTTGGTTAAATATACGACAAATTGAATAAAATAAAGTAAATCTTAAAACATTTATTTGCATTTAGTGTCTTATAGTTGACAATTTATTTTAATTTAATTGTTTAGCAAACAGACAAAAACTACAGCGAATTGATTGACAAAAACTAATATTCAAAGTCCAGTACATTTTTGCTTGAGGTTTAGCAACTGATAAGTTATTATCTGATGTTAAACACAAAAACCACGCAAAATAAACTATAAATGATAATTAATTATTAAACAATTAAAAACAAAAATCACTAATAAATAAGATAATGAAGTATGAAATCAAGTTTCGTTTGGATTTCATTTGCTTTCAATACATAATTGTTGAGATGTTTACTCCTTTAGAAATTGAAAAATATATTTTTATTTAACTTAATTTACGTTAATAAATATTTATCCCAAGATTAGAAAACGATTCTCTCTCTCTCTCTCTCTCTCTCTCTCTCTCTCTCCTTCTTATACGTCTTCAGTGACTGTTGTCTTATCTTTGATTAGAAGTATTCACTCTTAAGACCGCTAATCGACATAATATAGCAAATGTAAAAAAATTATATTTTTCATACAATTGATTAATGCATAACATATTAAAAGAGATGTCAATTATATATTTAGCGACATTCAGTTTGAAGTTAAGTTGAAAAATAATATTTATTTGTATGGATTTGCGATTAATTAGTAATCAATTTATTTATTCAACACTAGAGGATAGGGAAGAACTTTTATTACAAACAAATCATATCTATTTTTAAACCTTAAAAGACAAATATTGTTGAATTAAACATAAGATATGAATCAACACTAAAAGTACAGCGATTTTGTGGGCAGTGAGTGTTTGTCACGTGAATTGCGACCAATTAGTGATCGTTTGGATTGAGGGCTGACTTTGACTTTGAGGGCACGAAAGAAGAGAAGAAAAAGACAATAAAGAGGAGCCAAACGTTGCATTTATCGGACAACTCATCTCCAGAATCGCGATTCTTGTGCGTCATTCTCGTCGCTCTTATCAATTGGTTTCAATTAAATGCTCATATTTTTTCACTCATCTCTCAATTGAAGATTACATGGCATTCAGTCAATTCAATATCGATTCCTGACGAGCATATCGTCAATAAAAGCAGCATTTGTTTTGGCGTTCACTTTATTTTTTTCAAATTTTACTTTTTTAAACTTATTTTATATTTTCATTTCATTAAATCGTTCTTAAAATGATTTTAAAAGTTTTTATTATACAAACTCTACTGATTTGTATGTCATATGAGAGACACATCGAAGAGGAGATTTTGCCGATCGGACGGATCGAGAGGTCCGAAGAGAATGACTCTAACTTTCGGTACGAAACAAACGGCACAAACGGGACACCCATTGACGAGACGCTCAATCAAATCAAAGCCAACCATAAGAGTCGAGTGGAGAAGCGATCGGTTTCGGTGTTCTTAACGACCGACAAAACGGTGACCACAACGACGGCCTTCAATGTGGTCGGCAGAGGACAGGCCGACACTTTGGCCCCTAAATTCAAGAAGAATGGCACCAATTCTGGCACTAAATCCAAGCAAAATACTGAGCCCAACACACAATCACCCAAATCATCCATCAGTGAATTTCCCACCGATTTTATGACAGATAGTGTAAGTAATACGTTATTTCACATATATTCTGATATTTTTTTTATTAATTATAAATGTGTTCACATAATAATTGGCAAAACATGGGGTAATCTCTAATCTAAGGATAAGAATTGTTTTTCAACTCTATTATATCAGATCCTATTATTTCTTCGTTAAATTTAACTTTCATAATAATTTCATCGAAAAAGTTTCCATTAGATAGCGCTTAACCCGATAAATGATAGATAATTAGTAATTATTAATTACATTCAGGTGTTTGCTTAAGACTCTATAGATATGATAATTAGTATGTTTTAATTAAATTTATAAATTATTTGTTATTTAATCGATGGAATATTTTTTTGGTCACTTTTAACAATATCTTGAAAAACTAATATAAAAGATATATTCAATGAGATATCAAACAAAGATTAAGAGCAGAATTAAGATAATTGTTTTAATTTTAGTTCAATAATTGGCAAAAATTCAAATTTTGATAGCATTTATTAAATTAATATTTTTGGAAATAAATAGATAATTATTGATAATTTGTAACAAAATTTGGTCGATATCTCACATCTTTGCAAACATTTAAAGAAGGCTTCTATGGCTAAATCAAACAATAAATTTAATCAAATTTAGATACAAATAATGATAAATTGTAATTAAAATTTCTATAGTTTCGAAGCAATGGAGGATTTGTTATTCATATATTGGTATTTATATACATATGTCTGGCTCTGGCCGTTGTCTGCGATGTCTACTTCCTTCAGTCGTTAGAGTATATCAGTTCGGGTATGAAAGTCAACAACAAATTAAGAAATAAGACAAATATATTTAACTTAAACCAATGTTAACACAGCTCTAAGTCTGCCGGACGACATCGCCGGCGCCACGTTTATGGCTATCGGGACGTCGGCTCCGGAACTGTTCACAAGTGTTATCGGAGTATTCATTTCGGACAATGACATCGGGACGGGAACTATAGTGGGTTCAGCCGTTTTCAATCTAATAGCGATCCCCGCGTGCTGTGGATTCGCCGCCTATTATAACCTGAAGAAAATGCCGAAAGTGAGCTCATTTCCCATTCTTCGCGATATGATCTTCTATGTCCTCACAATCATTACATTAATTCTATGCATTAAGGATAATAAAGTCGATTGGTATGTATTTAATTGTATATTTCGTTATATAATCAGCCATTATTAATATATCATCTATCGCTAACTTTCTCTCTCTCTCTCTCTCTCTCTCTTTCTCTCTCTCTCACTCACTCACTCACTCACTCACTCTCAACCTTCAAATGTCTGGAGTTATTGTTATGACAGAAAACTTATAATTTGTTGCAATTTTTGCCGATAAGGATTAGTTTGTAGGTTGTGTTTGAAATAGCATTCAGGTCTCATTGGTAATAACTAATACCCGTTAAGGTTTCAGACAGTACTCGACTCATTTCCAGACAATACTTAAAAAGTATTTAATTGATAAACACGTGAAACAGCGGATGTGTTGAACAGTATATTAGATAAAGATGAGGTACAAAAAAGCTGGGAATTATATGGAAAAAGACAGTATTTTTAGAGAAGAAAAGCACTTGTAATAAAAACTAATCTAATTTATCGACTTATAGATAGAGCCTTTCACGCCGTTTCGAAATTTCATTACCAATTTTGAGATCTCATAAAAAATGAATTAATTCATATCTTAGACTAATACCAATTAAATAGCTTGAGCTTAATTGCTAATTAAATAATAGATGTTTGATGATTATATTTATGATAAAATGTACCGAAATACAAGAAAATGATTGGCATTATTAGTAATAATAATAATACAATAAACACAATCTCTTGTTACATGTCTTAGGGTCGAGTCATTGACTTTATTAGCCTTATATGCGGTGTATATCGTGATTATGTTCTTCAACGCCCAGTACTCGCATCTGATCACTGAGGCTGAGGAGGAAGAGGAGACACCGCTTCTCAAAGACAGAAAGAAGAGCTCCATTGAAGAGGATTACGATAACAATCGTTTGGAGGACTACTCGAAGATTGAGTTAATGAAAACTCCGAACGGAAAGTACAACGAAATCAAATCAAACGGCACTAAACATCACAATCAAAGTCAGAACATTGAGTCCAATCTCTATCCAAAGCTATCGCCGGCTAATAATGAAGAGGTCGTTAAACCAGAAGAGGATGACAGCGAATGGACTGATCATTGGATCATTAAAACTATTTTATTGCCAATGAATATATTATTTATATTAACTCTACCAAAAGCCACAAAATTCTGTTTTGTGATCACTTTTATTATGTCTATCGTATGGATTGCTGTTCTCACGTATGTTGCCGTTTGGATGACGACAGTCGTCGGTAAGCATTCAATACTTGCAAATAATTGCTAACATTAACTAAAATGATGCCTAAAATGCATTTCCAAAGGCTATTCAATCGGCATTCCGGACACAGTGTCGGGCATAACCATATTGGCCGCGGGCACCAGTATTCCTGAGCTCATCTCGAGCTACTTGATCGTGAAGAAGGCAGGTCTGGCCAATATGGCTATCTGTAACTCAATTGGTTCCAACATATTTGACATACTCTTCTGTTTGGGTCTTCCATGGCTTCTCAAGTCATTAATTTTGATCATAACAAACGGCTCAGGTTTTGCATCGCTGGCCAACACATCGATCCCAATCCAAAGCCAAGCGCTTCCGTTGACTTCACTCACGCTTCTTATCACATGTTTCGCTCTACTCTTGACTCTGAAGCTCACGAACTGGAGATTGGGATTAAACGTGGGTCTCATCTGTACTGTTATTTATATATTGTTTGTTATCATTTCAACGACTCTCGAGATTAATGTTTAAATTATAGATATTTTTTTTAATTGTATTTAAATGACAAATATTTTTGTCCATAACATAACGAAAAGTATTCAATTAACTTTCAATTGGTCTCAATATGTTTGTATTGCACAGCATTTTTCTCTCTCTTAATAATTTATATATAAATTTTTAAAATAAATGAAAAAATTATTTTCTAAAATGTAAATTAATTTCAATTTTATTAATTAAGTTCTAGTTATGAATTAATTATAAACATATTAAATTTAATCGCTTATATAAAGCTTTATTATAAACATGACTTTATAAATATTTTTATACAAAATGCATAAAATTAATTCAATTTATTTGTCTAATGTTCTTAATTAATAATTTTATAACATTTTAAAATGCTTTCCAGTAATCATTAAAATAGTCTTAAAACAACTTAATTATAAAAACTTTGTTGACTTGTCATGTAATCATGAAATTTGATTCCTAAACTATAAAAAATAATTATTATATTCGCCATTAATTTCTATGCGTTTATAGCAAACAGTAAACCATCTGTTCATATATTTTGATGATCAGTAAACCTACAGTCAATTGTTGTGTATTTTGTTAACCGAAAAAATGAGTGAAAAATCAGACGAAAAAGAGAGAATATTTACTAGGGATGAGGTGCGAGACCACGACGACACCGACTCGTTGTGGGTCATTGTCGACGGTTACGTGTATGACGTGACCCGTTTCCTAGAGGAACATCCGGGCGGTCAGGAAGTGCTCAAAGAGTATGGCGGAGACGACGCGACCCACCGTTTCGACGAAGTCGGACACTCGGCCGACGCCTTAGACATGATGAAGAAGTATCGGATCGGAAGGGCTTTAGGCGATGACTTGGAATTTCAGGATTTTGAGGCCACATCTGCTTCCAGTGTGACTGAGGGCTGGAATTGGTTGCCATTGTTGGCCGGTCTGAGTGCCAGTTTGTGCACTTATTATCTTCTTAATTACTTCTAAAGGTTTCTTACATTTTAATAATGATTGTAAAATTGCATCAAAAAAAGAAATCTCATAAAAACCCAAATGATTTTTATCAAATGATTTTATTAATAAATTTTATTTGCAAGTAATTTTTTATGTAAATTGTAATAAATGTGAGACATGTGTTCAATTTTATATACATTTTATACTCAATTTCATTATAAAAAGCCAAAGAAAAATATTATAAATTTAGTTTGCGTTCAAATACTTTACAAAAAACTCAAAAATCACAAAATCCTTAGACATTTAAAAATACTTTTGATAGAAAAAGTGAGAAAAAGAAAACTTTTTCATACGAATTGAATTCATTTTTATCCATTGAATAATAACTGTACTCTTCATATGCAATGTCTGCTAGTCTTGAGAGAGAACTGAAAAATTTCTTATTCTGTGCGCGAATACCAGAAGAATAGGGTTTTACACACATATAAAGGCTAACAGAAAGGGGAATGTCTTGAGGGAAATGTTTCGCTTATTTATTTCGAGGAGAAATAGAGAGAGGCTTTGAATGAAGTTTTGAGCGAACCTTTGACAATGAACTTAAGGTCTATGGGGTTTAAAACACTATATTATTGTATATTATGATTGAATGAAGTAATGAAATATAGAGATGAATGAATGCTGTAATTAGCTCTGATTGCGATCCATCCTTAGGGCAAAACTTTTTTCATATGTAATTAAGTTATATTTTTGAGTATTTTATGGGTGTTTTAGTGCAGTTTTTTGTTTACTTTGTGTGCAATTCATATATCATAAGCTAAATAAGCGAAAGCTCTATTGATTTTTTTTTTAGAAAACACTAATTATATCATCCTTTCAAGCATTCATCACATTATGCGATGATTTTATTGTATTATTTGATTTATTATGTAATCATTATTTTTTGAATTTAATGTTTTAGAAGAGTTTTAAAATTAAAACATTAGGGTCTTATTTGAATTAAAGTCTTAAGAATTTTACACTCAATTACTATAGCGTGAAAATTGATAACGATTTTAACTATTCTTACAATTATACTGTACATGTTGTTTGAGAATCAACTATACTATAAATTACAAAACAATACTTTTAATATATTTAAAAGTATTTTATGTTAAGTTAAACGACGAAATGTTTTAATATTGCCCGGGATTTGAATGTACGCTAACATGTTATCAAACCTGTAGTGATATACAATGTATTTGTCTGCAACAGAATGTGAGACAACCAATTATTCCCAATCAGACCATTTGTCTCTTTCACTTTCCATTCATTCAATCTATTATTTCTTAACATAAAAGCGAATCTAATCTAAATGTGTTTAAATGTGTTTATCATTCATTTCGGTTTTAACTTCAATTATCGACACGTTTATACAGTAAGTTCCTGAATGTGTACAGAATTTTTTACACATAAAACCTTATGGTATTTTCCTTGCGGTTGAATATATAAGCCATTGAATTATATACTGTGTACAACCATGTAAAAATAATTTTTATTAAAATTGTTATTAGTAAATGAATGAACATTTCTTAAATAAAATAAAATCCAAATATAAAACAAACAATTAATGACACAAATAAATAAATAATATGAAATTTTTGGTATATTTTTACTATTTAACATAATTTATTAATTTAATTGATAATTATGATAACAAAATTGAAATATTTGTACCAAATATATGAATGTTTGTTTAAACTATTGTATTCATAAATCTAATATTTAATGGCATTTATATTCATGTATATATTGAGCGATCTTTTTACGAGATAATTAAACCTCAATTAGGGGACCCATTGAGTGAAAAGCCAATGAAAAATGTATCGAAAGTTCACAACTTTTGCGGATTTTGATGTCTTTCATAAATATGTGAGGCTTTAGAGTAAAAAATTGAAGGGATTTTTGTGTAAACATTTAGATAAGAGGGACATAAAAATTTTTAGCAAAAAAGAGAGAGAGAAATAACATAAACCGCTCACAACTCATCATAGAGTCTATGAGGCTATCGGTGCCAATAAATGTTATCTTAATAACAAACCGAAGCGAATCTTTAAACCTCTTATAACTTTTTCTCTTCGGTGAGAGAAGTGCTATATATTTCTGCTGACAATAAAGATTTAATTTTTCCCCTCTCTGTCTGTTTGGGTATATATTTTAAACAGTTATCAAACGACAGAAAAATTTTTTCCTTATTCCTTCGCCGGAACACAGTTTACACTCTAATGTATAGAATAGTAATAATAATAATAATTTTTTGTTTTTTATTTTCAATATATGTTTGTATCTAATATTTCACACAATACTACAGAGACTTACAAATAATAATAATATTTTACGCTTTCCTTTCGTCTATATATTGTTTCCATTTCTTTCTCTCGCAAGAAATCCATGATTTTGTCTATACATTGGTGTGACTTCTCATGTGATCCATAACTTACACAACAAATACATAACAGAATAATAACAAAAACAGAAGAGAGAAATATTGCAGTTATTCTCAGACATAAAAATTGTATTATTCCTTTCATTTGCTACTTATTTGGAGCAAAAAAAGTGAAACTATGTTAACAGACAATAGATAATAGCGAGTAATAAAGGGTCGAGAGAGAGAGAGAGAGAGAGAGAGAGAGAGAGAGTTGGTTGTAATTATATACTCGAGAGGCGCTTCTATTGATAAGGATTAACATTTCCGGTTAAGTGAAGACGTATTGTTAGTCCAATTGGTCTTTATTTATCAAATATAACCATCTTTTTGGTCGACTATATAGTGAAGTGAAACCTCATAAATGCGGTTATCATAGCATCTAATGGTCAAGAAATAAATGCCGAGAAGAATAAATCCAAACTCAATCTCATCTGTGTTTGTGTGGTTTGTCTGCTCTAATTGTGTTCACTATTACAGAGCATTATATTATACAAAAATTATTGCTTTTCATTAACTTTCTCCACTCATTACAGATTTCATGTGCTGAACACAGGGCTGACAATAATTGGGCTCAAAAAATGTATAATATATTATAAGTTCCACAATTATATCCATTTGCTGTAGAAATTAGACACAATTGTATAATTCTTTTGAAGCAGAAAATTATTCCTAAAGTTATGATAAATTTTAGATAATTAGAGATCCTATCCATTGATATACCAGTTATGAGAGAGTAGTTTGAAAAATGTATTCAATTTCTGTGTGCAAAGCGTTTACATACATATTGTCGCGTATAAAACTGATCTCATAAAAACAATGCATACGTTATAATTATTCATAGCAAGGAATATAAAAGTAACTGCATTTATAAAGGGAAGTAAAGGCATTTCCCTCACTTAATGGCAAAGCAGAGATGAGTTTCACGCTGTTTTCCCGTTAACAGTTCTGTATTAGTCTAACCAGATATATGTGTATACAGTTTCATAACTAGCGGCTATTTAATTATATGTCTAGGGTTTAATTATAGCTCTTATTAGACTTATTGAAAGGTTTATTTCGCATTAGTGACAAGTAGTCACTATAATTAGAGTCAGGGGTTAACTCGATCGACTTATCTGAGCACTATATTTGGGCGTGGTCGCCCCCAACTCCTTCCGTCAAGCTCGGTTTTGTCAGACTTAATACTATACACACTCTTTATATACACTTATCTCACGATATTTATATCGTGAGATATTACACAAGGAAAAGGTTAATTAATAATTGTTAATATACATGCGAGCTATGTGAGTTATTACACAATAGCTCCAAAAATATTCTAGGTAATAATCTATAAAGGTAAGGGTATCAAAAGGGAATGCAGCTGTTTAATAGAGGTGCTTCACAATACCTCTAGCCACGGTTAATTCTACAGGGCAACCGTGAGACCTAGTTTCTAACACCAAACATTTAACGTGTTGGTCATTCAATATGGTCAAACCTTCGTAGGCCATAACATCAAATTTATTATTAGTGTTCTGTTCTGTTCTGTTTGTGTTATCACGTGAAGATGTCCTGTTCGTGTTACTGGAAAAGATTGTTATTAATCATTATTTACATCACGTGAAATTTTCCTTGTTCGTGTTACTGGAAAACAACCATAATTACAGTGCAACTTTTAAGGAACAAGCACAATGACCTTTACAACCATAATTACAGTGCAACTTTTAAGGAACAAGCACAATGACCTTTTCTAATTATTAAATATAAACTGTACTTATTTATTGATTGTGTTTAACATACAAAACACATCAATCCTTATCGTTGGTCTGACATGAGCATCGATTCCTTGGATTCTCTATGATCGATAACCCCCGACTTATAATGTGGCCACAATGGGCGTATAATAATTAATACATATTGATTTACATTTTAAAAGGATATTTATTAATATAATATAATTAATACGGACTTACATTAAGTTGAAAACCAGCAAAGACTTCTCGTTATATAAGGCTCGCGATGCACAAGTATTTCCCTAACACTTCTAGCAAAAATCTAGCCCTATATCTTTTAACTAAAATTAGCAAAAGATAAACTCTGTATATCTCAAGTAAGAGAATCAAGAGTCAAAAAAGAAGTCCTCTCGAATAAGACAATTGCAACCGTTTTTATACCCATTAATCGAGTCATTGTTTAACGCAGGAATGAGTCATAAGTTGTTATGACGACTTGACATGCTCTCAGTTTCTAGAGCTATCAGCGCATACACAGTTGTATTTTAAGCAAAATACTTATGACTCATCCCTTTATAGTGTCTAATATTAGAAAGTGTACCTATATTATGACAAGACATAAAAGCGGCTTACATTGAGAAGCCAAACATTTATTATGACAAGTTCATATATTAACTTATATAATTATTAATACATTTAATTAGGATCTTATGGACATTAAGATGCGGTTCTTGTGGTTAGGCCGTGAAGCCCAACTTTCATTGTCTCAATATTATGTATTTATGTAATGTAATATATAAGGTATTGATTAGTATAGATTTAGACTTAGAGAGATACTTTGAACAGTTAGGCAG